AGAAATTAAGCAGAACCCTGTTATTATTTTCTGGATCTGACTATAAGTGAAAAGTGCCTCACTGGATATTTTTGCTGCCTCCAAAAATACTCCCTTGACTCAACCCTGGTTACATGTAGATGGATTTTTAGAGAAAGACATCAACACTGGGCAGGGGGCTTGTTCCAGGTAGCATTTGGATAGCAGCTCTCCAATTGTATATCCCACTCTTGGCTCTCTAAATACGTTCCTATTGCTGTCATGTACAAGAGGCAGTCCTTACCAGATTATGCTCTGGTTTTCTCTTCATTACCATTACCAAGTAACGAACTCAAGTAAAATGCATTGGTGCATGTCAGCCGGGACTTTTTGTGTCCTGGAACAAAGATTGTGAAGTGTCCAGAGTAGCATGTACAAATGTGTCTAGCTAACTTAAACTGATTTTTATCAACCAACCGGGGTTAAAAATCCTCTAGTACAGACACACACTGTGTTGCTATGTTATAAGCTGGTGTGAAGGGGAGCCAAAAAGGAAGTGACCAAATGATGCCTCACATTCAGGAAGCTCTGACAAGGAAATGCAAGTGTGGAAGAGCCTGCAATGGCTCAGACCCACTCCTGAATAAATGAAACAGTAAAGCACATTGTGCCATTCCAGCTCATTATATGCATTAGGCATGTAATTTCATGTAACATTACAAGTCCAGGTGATGTAGTAATACCCTCAGAAACCTTCTAGTCAGAAGGATTGGCATAAGAATGGCTACAAAACCATTTTAAAAGAAGAAACACTGATGAGGGAGAATAGTGATAGAAATGTAGCCGTGTTAGTCTGGGGTAGTTGAAGCAAAATGCAGGACAATGTAGCACTTTAAAGACTAACAAGATGGTTTATTAGATGATGAGCTTTCGTGAGCCAGACCCACTTCCTCAGATCAAATAGTGGAAGAAAGTAGTCACAACCATATATACCAAAGGATACAATTAAAAAAATGAACAAATATGAAAAGGACAAATCACATTGCAGAACAGGAGGGGGATGCGGGGGGGGGGGGGGGGGGGGGGGAGGAAGGAAGGAAAGTGTCTGTGAATTGATGATATTAGAGGTAGGGAGAGTGGGATGTTTGTGAGTTAATGGTATTACAGGTGATAATTGGGGAAACTGTCTTGGTAATGGGTGAGATAGTTCAAATGTTTGTTAAGTCCTTGTTGGCAAGTGTCGAATTTTAACATGAATGACAGTTCAGAGGATTCCCTTTCAAGTGCAGATGTAGGGTTAGTGGCTTCAGTTTCCCCTTGTTTTACAAATATGAAAGGTTTGACCCTACCTCACTCCTTCAGTGATCTGGGCACATTCCAGCGAAGGGTTCTGCCCTCAATCAGCATTTAAACAAGAGAAATGAAACCACAGAAGTAACAGAGAACGTAACTTCCAACAACCGTGAGGTCTTTGTGGGCCAGATGAATCAGTAGGGACAGACTGCAAATGTCATGATGAGTTGTTCAAGAGAGAGTCTTGATGAAAGTTTTATCTTCTATTCTTCTCCATATTAGGCAGCAAAGGTAACAGGAGAAGACTTTTCCTGATCACCTATTGGCCTATATGTCCCTGAAGAGTTATCCAGGTATGTGAGTTCTCTAAAAGAGTATGACACAGGAAATGGTTTGGAAAAGGAGAAGAACAGTATATAGTCTACTAGTTATTCTATAGACTACTTAATAGGGATGTAAAATCCCATTTAACTGTTTAAAAGGGAGGGTGGGCAGGGGAGAAATGCTCCAGCGGGCTGAAGCTGCCCCCTCGCCTGCTGAGGTTGGGCTAGAGCGGCCTCCACCACTGGCAAGTGCTGCTCCAGCCCTGGCCGCTACATGGACCCCCCTGCCACAACTCCGGACCCACCTTCTCCCAACAGGGGCGGCTACATGGGGCAAAGGGGTGGGGGCTGAATAGGCTGGAGCAATCCTCTGCCCACAGCTGGGCCCCTGGTGGAGGAAGAGGGCTACTCCCAGGGTAAAGGTTAACTGTTACCTCCTAAGCATCACCCATTAATGCTTACCCAGTAACTGTTTAATGGGTTACCCATTAACATCCTTATAACCTAGCAAAATAAATTCCTGGAGCCATCTCTTCCTCCCCTCTCCCCAACCCTCAACTGCTGCCTACTTGAATCCCGAAGTGATTCACTTGGCAGCAGGGCTGAATTAAGGGGGAGGGGGAGGCTAGCCGGGCAGCTGCCTGGGGCGCCAACCTACGGGGAGGCGCCTGATGGCAGTGTAAGGGGCGCTGTGCGCCCAGGGCCGGGAGCCGCATGGTGCCCCTTAAAGCTGCCATCAAGCGCCATACAGCCCTCAGCCCCGGGTGCGCGGCGCCCCGTAGAGCTGCCATCAGACGCTGCATGCCCACGCATGTGCCATGCGCCCGGGGGCGGAGCCGCGCATGCGTCCCGCTCCCGCTGACTGGGCGCATGAATGGCTCGAGCCGGCCCTGCTTGGCAGAGAAGGGAAAATGGAGGCACTGCTGAGCCAAAAGTAGACCCAAGACCTACTGGCTTACACCCCAGAGTAGGTAAAATGCAGGTAAAGAGGGAATGAACTGTGCCTGGCTGCTGCTGTTTCTCTACAGCAGTGTTTCTCAAAATGTGCTCTGTGGAGCCCCCGGGCTCCGCGAGACATCTCCAGGGGCTCCGCAAGGTTGACAAACTGGAAACATCGATAGGTACAACACATACAATCAGTGGACCACATGTAAAGTGCTCCGGAGCCCAAAAAGTTTGAGAACAGCTGCTCTATAGCAAGGTATAATGTTGACTGCTGTATGCAAGCTCTTTTCCACTCTGTCCTTAGCGCATATTTGAAACCAGGAGTGCAAGTCTTTGTCTCAGCAAGTTCTTTCTCAAGGCTATGTGTTGTATGTAGTACTTTCAAAACCTCCCAAAGCTCAGGCTCCTCCTCTCACACTCTGGGAACATGCCCCTTCTAGACAGTCACCCAGCTTCTATGGGAATGGAATGTCCCTTTCTGCTTCTCATAATCCCCCTGACCCACCATTCCTGTACTGAGAGAAAAGAGAAGTTGCCCAGCACTGTGCCTGTTCAATAGGCTAGCATGAGACTCCAGAGCACTGTGCCTGTTCAATAGGCTAGCATGAGACTTGCATTTGCTCCACTTTTATGATGTAAACAAAGCGGGATGTTAGCCTAATCACACTATCCAAGCTCCTGCAGATGGGACAGGAAACAAGTAGTGTTAAGAAACAGAGAATTCCAGCTAATAAATAAATCTGTTGTGCTCCTGGGACATTGAGATTAATATCCCAGAATGCATCCGTGTACACATAGCTCATTTCCAGGAAACAGTCCCCCATCAAAGCAACAAGTCAGAGGTGTGTGTTATTGACTAACATCATTCTCTCTTCATCACCATGCTCTGGACCCGTAAATCACCCCAATTAGTAGTGGAAAAGAACAAGTAAAGCAAAAAAGGACTTGGATCCCTTGGGGAAAGGAGGTAAGTCAAGATGAAATCCTGTGGTTTATACATATAGGGATCTATTCTCCCACTGATGAATGAGGGATTTATGCGGATAAGTCCTCTGAATATTAACAGGAATTATCCACAGACAGCCTCACGTGCTCAACAGAATACACCCATGTGTCTGTTTCTCCATCTGGGAGTTCGGCTACAGCAATCAGCTAAGTCAACAGGAGTCAGGGCTTCCGATCACGGTGGCTGACGTCCAAAAGAGAGGAACTAGCAAAATTTGTGGTGGACATGCCAATGCCAACTCTGCATCGGAACTCTCTGGGTGGAACTTTCAGACATGGACCCAGTCTGCACCACCACTTCCTCAGGGAGAAAGAGAAGCAAGTGAAGAGAATTTTCCACACCTCTGAGCAAGCAAACAGGGTTGACAAGAAAGATGATGCAATTCCAAGATACTTATGAGTAAGTCCCCTTTTCTAGAGCCAGAAACATTGCTCTTTTTGGACAGAAGCTCACTGTTAAAAGCTGGACTGTCTGTCTTTAATTTTTAAAAAAGTAACCAAAAGACCTAGATGGTGTGGGAAGATACTCTACTAATAAGATCTTCTCTCCTGAAGAACAGCATTCTGATTTGGCTAACACTACTAATAAGATCTTCTCTCCTGAAGAACAGCATTCAGATTTGGCTAACAGCATTCAGTAGTGAAATGAAGTCCCACATTGGTATCTGTCATTCTCTCTGCTTATGAGAGGCCCAGGAATTATCAGAGGATGCTGCATGCCAGGTTTGCCTGAGGTGGATTATCAAAGCTGTCTATACTAGGCAACTTCAGAAGGGTAGCCGACTTACAAAGCTGTCTATACTAGGCAACTTCAGAGGGGTAGCCGACTTAAGTCCATAACTGGAAAAACTTAAAAAACAATGAATAGTCTAGCAACACCTTAAAGACTAACAAAATATGTAGATGGTATCATGAGCTTTCATGGACACAGTCCACTTCTTCAGATGAATGGCAGGGCCAGCAAAGAGGCTGCAACTAAAGACTGAAGTGAATTGGCACAGATGTGTGTGTGTGTGTGTGTGTGTGAGCCCATGAAAGAAACGGAAGAGCCAAGGGGGGAAGTATACAAAGTTGTAGCTATTGATATGAAACAGGAATAACATCTGAAGCTACCCTAGCTAGAAGACAGTTTACAAAGATCACCAACCTTCCTGTTTCAGGGTAGATACTGATCATCAGCTGGGAGCAGGAAAAAAAATATCTCCTCCTCTCCCTGTCTAGCAAAATTTGGTGCATTAAGGAGGTTTTACACCTGCCTCTAAAGCAAGTGACCATTGCAGAAACAGGATACTGTACTAGTGTTGACAGACTGACCACCAAGTTTCCGATATAGCTGCAATTCCCTATTCTTCATATCATGGAAAAAGAAACCATACCTAGACCCGTCCCTTTGTTTCCATCTACCTGGACAGGTGAGTCAGTCTTCTTTTTAATTCCAGTGAATGTATTTTCACTGTAATGAGATAAAGATAGGTAACATGCCAGATCCTCGCCTGCGGTAAATTAGCCCTGCCCAGCATATTCAAGGCAAGCAGTTTAGCTTGGTCCTCTGAGCTGCCTTTCACTCCCAGCAATGTTGCTTCATTTTAAATCTGCTGGCAATTACATTCTGGAACTTCCAGCTGAACAGGCCGCGTTGCACACGCACAAGTTTTCCCGAATCGCATCCCACAGCTGGAGGGCCAAGCAGTGCAAAGCCTCCTGCCCGGCCAGGGCTGCACCCACTGCTCCCGGCTTTGCAGCCTGAGCCTCCAAAGCAGCCTTGCTTTGGGTCTCCGCTTTCTGTTTCATGCCGCTGACTCCCGCCTGTAGCGTGGCCTCTGCAAAGCTCAACCCGGCTTCTCGCTCCCGGGGACCCCCCGCCCTCGCGTGCTCTTGGCTCTGCTCCCTCCTTTCCTCCTGCCCGTCCTGTCTGGTCCCGGGGAGCGCTGGGCGCACGCGGGAGCTGTGGGCAAAGCAGCCTTGCTTTGGGTCTCCGCTTTCTGTTTCATGCCGCTGACTCCCGCCTGTAGCGTGGCCTCTGCAAAGCTCAACCCGGCTTCTCGCTCCCGGGGACCCCCCGCCCTCGCGTGCTCTTGGCTCTGCTCCCTCCTTTCCTCCTGCCCGTCCTGTCTGGTCCCGGGGAGCGCTGGGCGCACGCGGGAGCTGTGGGACAGACAGACAGACAGAGCAGGGGCCGCGCTCCGCGGCTGCCCCC